CGGAAGATTTGATCATTATAATCACCAGTATTATTCATAAACTCACTTAAAAGTGATCACTTCACTCGCTCGTTGTATGAGTCTCTTGTTGCTGATCAGCTTGAAGTTCACCTTCCATTCTTGCTTGTCGTTCTGCCGCTGCTCTTGCTTGTCTTCCAGCACTAGACCGAAGATTTTTCCGTTCCGGAGGAGGTTCTACATTGAGTCGTTTACCGCTTCGAGCTTTTTTCCCTTTAGTGCCTTTATTATCTTCTTCTATTTCCGACGTTGCCTTTGATGAATCTCCCTTAGCGTTACTAGTACTTTGCTGCGATGTAACTGTCTCATCTGGAATGGTTGTTACCGGTGTTACAGAAGTAGATGTTAGTAAAGATGTAGGAGTGGGCGTAGGCGTAGAAGTTGGTGTAGGTGTTGGCGTTGATAATGGCGTAGATATAGATGTTGGTGTATGTGCTGGAGTAGGCGTTGGCGTACGTGCTGGTGTAGGTGTAGGTATTGGCGTGATCGTGGTTGTAGGCGTAACTGTAGTTGGCGGTATAGTTGTTGTCACTGAAGGAGTTATTTCGATAGATTCTCTCTTTTTAGTACTCGGGGATGTTTCAGTTATAGTTATTGTGTTATTTTCTTCTATTGGGCTTGGCTTGATTGTAACTGACGATGATCTCGATCCGTATTCTATTTCAACTGCCGACACGTCCACAGGTGTTATAGTTGTAACTGGAGTGGTCGTCACAGGCTTTGTAGTAACTTCGATTTCGATTCGTGGCTTTTTATTCACGGGTTCGAGTGTTACCTCAAGCATGCTCGATGGCTGCTGCTCAGAACTTTGATTATAATCTGTGGCGCGCCCTCTTTTCTCGCTTGATCGTTGAATGTCTTCGAAATTTCTCGTCAAAAGCTCTGCGCTGGTTCTACTTAAATGTTCCAAAGCTTCTTTCATTTCCTGTTCTTTGTTCTTCTTTTCAGCCCTTCGGTCGGAAAGGTCTGCTACATCGTTTTGCTCCATGCTTTCCCTTTTGTCATGTTCTACCCTACGCTTGTCTTCGCTGTGTAACGCTGTCATATCGGTGTACTGCTGTAGTGCTATTCCAGGATCTATGGAATATCTAGATTTCTTCTCGGTATCTTTTCGTTTAGTTGCTGAATCTGTGATCGTGTCTCGCCTAGAATTATTACCTGATGATGCAGGCTTACGAACCGTTGACGCACTCGAAGTCGGTGGATTCAAAAGACCACACTGAGCAAGACTTTCGTAGGCCGATGACACTCCACCAGGTTGCATGGAGAACGGATTCAAACCACCCAAACCCAGTGGCGTATACAAAAGACTCGGATTTGGAAAAAAGAAGGGGAACGGCGTCGTTGTTGGTATCGTAGACGATGCTGATGAAGTTGAAGGCACCGAAGATTTACTCGTAGGTGGTTCCAATTTACTGCGAGATTTACCAGTGCTGCTTATGCCGGTTGAACCAGTGTTTTTACTACTGACAGAACTAACGACTGGATTTGTGTCGGCTGCTGTGCTGGTAGCTGCTGTTGCACCCAAAGCAGCTTCCATGCCCGCTAAAGTTGGTAAACCAAGTCCGGCAAGATTCGCAAATAAAGAATTCGTCAGACTCATATTACTCAGATTACTGAGGTTCCCTAAACCGCTTAATGCACCCAAGTTTGGTAAACCACCGAACGGCATTAAGAGGGGATTATTCTTCGGGTCAAAATTGCCAAGAGATAGACCAGATAGAAGGGAGGTGTTCAGATTACTTAACGAAGGGAAGTTTAGGCCTGAAGCCATTGATGTAGCTACCAGATTAGCTTGATTTGCCGATTGTTGACTAGTAGGGCTTGGCATCATGGGAGGCCTTCCTGGACTCTTACCCTTATTTACATTACTTCTGTCATTTCCTGATAATCTCTTTTGCAAATCGTGTGGAAGATTTCCACGTTCCTTCACAAGTTCAGCCCACTTTGGATCTACATCGAACATTGGGTTCTCAATTAACCATTGCCCTAATCGTTTCAGTTGCGGAGCCTTGCTTCCAGTAACCTGAAATAAACGCAATTTAATTCGTTATTAAAATTTGGGAAGAAACAAACAACTTTAATTTTTTATTCTGTTTAATGATAAGAAAAGATCTTGAAAAAAATTATGCTCAATATCAAGATTATGCTTTGAGTAGAACGTATAATAAAATCTTACAGATAACAATATTTTACAAAAAGAAAAGTTATTAACGATAGAAGGCATAATGTAAAAAAGTTTCCTCTACAAACCTTTTTGCCTGTTAATCTATTAATTACAGCAACATTTTCTTCGCCCGTTAATTTTTTCCAATCTAATAAAGATGGATCTACTCGTGGACGTCGTCGTCTGGGCGCATTTAAATATTCTGCGCTTAATTGTTCAGACATGGCAGTTTGTTCAGCTAACCATTTATTTACTTTCGCTTCGTGTGAATATGGTCCGATTTTGGAAGAGTATTCAGCGGCCTTATTAATGTCTGCAATCATTGCTTCATAACTCTTTCTGTGACCACTTGATGATGATGAATGCGCAGAATTGAAACTCTGTTGTTGTTGTTGTTGAGACTGTTGCTGTTGCTGCTGCTGCTGCTGTTGTTGTTGCTGCTGCTGCTGCTGTTGTTGCTGCTGCTGTTGCTGCTGTTGTTGCTGTTGCTGCTGCTGTGACTGATGTTGCTGTTGCTGTTGCTGTTGCTTTTTAAATTCACGATTTTGCTGTTCCGCTTGAGCAATCAAAGCAGAAAAACTATCTTTGTGCGAATGTAAAGACGGAGGCGGTAATCCAGACGTGGAACTTGATGCACGTGAAGAAGGAATTGAAGTAACAGTAATAGAAAATGGTTTCTGGGTACTCGTTGGAGGATTCGGAAGACCCATAGGTGCAGATGTTGGAGTAACCGTTACATTTGGTGTGATTGTGCTCTTTTTACTGTGTTCAGGATAATGCGTGCTCTGTTGTTCCTTTGCTGCACTCAATCCTAGCACAATTTCGTCAAGCTTCCTGCGCTTTTTCTCTTTTCCAATAACAGGTTCATCTGGTGGGCCGCCTTTTCTCTTCATTAATTTATCTAACATGCTATCTAACTTTCCTTTATTACTGCTAATTTGTTTATTTTTATTTGGCATTGAAAAGTCTTGAACCTCGTTCATAATATCTTTACTATTATCAGTGCTCATTTTTGGATACCTGAAAATCACTCATAGTTGAATTTGCATTTAAACAACTCATTAAAACCATACATAACATTTACATATCTCTAAAGACATCCTAAGACCTCATTTTTTAATGGCAAATATCACAAATTATATAAATATATAAAAGATTGAAAGTCAGCAATAACAATTTTATAAATCAGTGATAATCATGTTTATAAAATATATAATACTGATTAAAAAATAACTTCTTATTTCACATACCTTTTAAATTATTTCTCTTAATTATTTATAAAATAATTAAAAACGTTAGGAAAATCAAACAAAATATCTTTACAAATGATAATAATCTTACCCAGCGGACAAGTCGATGGGCGTTAAAGTACTCGAAGTTCCAGGAATTACAGTCGGTTTTCCAGGGACCGTATATTTTAAGTCGAAAGGTATACTTGGTGTTCGTGCTTGTTGATGTGCTGGGGGTGGTTGAACTGGTGTAGAACGTCTCGATTCTTCGGACTGTGATTCATCATTTATTTCCCAAGTATTAGATCCCGATATTACTACAGGCTTACTTAAAGCTGCGGGTGGTTGTGCAGTAGTATGACTACTATTTAAAAGAGCATGTAGTTTTGCTAAAAATAAAACCATAATATGATAGGATTCTTACGCATTCGAAGGATTTATACAAAATTGTTTGACAATATTGTTTCATTACCTCGTTCAGTCTCTACATCGATAGCAATGTGTCTCTTGCGTTTTTTCGATAATGGCATATTATTTCCCGGCGTTGTATTTTTTGGTACCCCATGATCTGTGGTTATAGTTATTACTTCAGAACATTCTTTCTCATTTGAAGGAATATCTACTTCGTCACCAGCACTGAAGTTCACAGATACCGGCCATTCTTTATGTTCAATCGCATGAACAATGTGCATTAAACGAGCCTCGATAGCATGTTCCTGAAGAGATAAAAGAAACATTTTAAATGCGACAGTAACGACACGATAAGAATATTTAAATAAACAAAAATGTATATGTATGTGTATTTATGTGTGTGCATATGTATATCAAGTATAGACTTGCTTACACAAGCCAAATTTGACAAGTGTAACTTTTCATACGAGCGTTTTAGATTCTTGTATTATCCGATCTTCTTTTCCCAGAAAAATATCATTTTTTCCGACACACGCATACCATTGGTTGGATATATTAGCACAGTTCAAAAATGTCACAACATGCCACATACGTATCACGACCCCTTGGATCAGGTTAAAATATAATATAAGAATAATTGTGTAAATACGTTTCTACTTACCTTTGGCCATTTCACAGCACTATTACAATTGTGTGACAAAAGATGCACAACCGTAGGTTCGTTATAATCTACTGGTTTATCGCGAAGAACAAATGTATCTATTTGTGTTAAACGCGATAACGGTTGTATAACTTCCAAATCTGGAAACATGGCTTTAAGTTCTGCTGCTTGAACGCTGCATTTATCTTCGATTTTGCATACTTTTTTATCTTTGGAGGTGGCTTCTATTGTTTTTCCTTCTTGTGTCTCAGTTGTCTCATCTTTAATAACAGGAGGAGAATCAGCTTTTACATTTGTCTTGTTATCCTCTACTGTTACACTTTCAGTATTTGTTACCGACTTTTCCACTATTTCCGGAATATCTTTTTGTTCCGTTGAACTTTTTTCTTCTGTCTCTTTCACAATTACAGAAGATTGCGTTTCGTCAACTTTCTCTTCTTGCGATTCCTTCTCCGTCTCTTTTGTTACATCTTTTTCTTTATTCTCATTTTCCTTCTCTGTTTCTGTAGTAGTGGTAGTGGTATTGGTAGTAGTGGTGGTAGTGGTGGTGGTAGTAGTAGTGGTGGCACTAGTAGTGGTACTAGTACTTGTAGCTGCTACTTCTTCAACGTCTGTTGTTTCGTTATTTGCTTTCGTTTCATCTACTTTACTAGTCCCTATGACATGGTCAACTTTAGGAACTTCAGTTTTTATCGATTCTACTACTATTTCGTTTTTCTCTTCAGATTTTATTTTCGTAATAGAATCTTTGTCTATGGACGTACTCCTTGGAACGGTTGTAATTGTTAATGCATTACTGAGAGGCTTCTCTTCAACTTTATTTTCAGCCTTAATAATAGTGAGTTCAACCTGACTCCTTTCCGAATCTGTATTTTCTGATCTTTTGTCTATTGCACTTGCATCTTTATCCTTCTTCGCGCCTACTTTTTCTATTTTCAAAGTACCTTCACCCTTTTCTAATTTTACAAGTATTTCGTCTTTATCAAACTTTAATATATCTTCCCTGTTTTCAATTTTAATTGCTTTCTCAGATTTATCCATGATTTTAGATGCTTGAATGTTACTGTACATTTTAGAACTTAAAATTTTATGAAATGAAAAATCAGGATCATTTAAAATTGTTATATCGGTACGACCTAAGCCATGCTTCGCAGCTCCAAGCAGCAATTCTTTATCATGTTTTCCAGGTTGCCACCAGTCAGGTGTGTCACCTGATGGTTGACACAATGAAAGTCGTTCCTCTAAATGAGGATGAGACAAAATCTCCTCACGAATTTTACTTAAAAGATCGACACGATCTAATATTTGCCTCGCTTTCGCTGAACTGAGATGATCAACAGGAACGTCTGAAAAATCTAGGATATATACAAGATCTTTAATACTACAACGCTTACAAATACTTAATGTCCATTGTGGAATTTACTATTACACATATAAATAACTCTTGTTACGTGTAAGAACATTTACTTTTATACACGAATCTTAAACATTAGTTTTGTTACGGACATACCTTCTTCATCGTTCAACTTTGCGTTACATGCTTTCTTACACATTGCTCTAAAAGACATATAATAATCTGTAAGATCATTATCTGTTTTCTTGTCAAATCTAGCAATACTTTTAAATTTCGTCCAATCGTATTGTGCCTTTTTTCTATCATAGTTAACACCGTAAGTTGATACAACACGTAAAAATTCGCTTTCTTCACGGCGGGACCACTTTGCCTTCTGTTCTTCAATACGAGTTCGTTCTCTTTCTTTTACCATAGCCTCCATTTTTTCTCTTCTTTCCATTTTCTATACCAAGTAAAAAATGTAGTATTGTAATAAAATGTTATGATGAACAAAAGCAGTGTCTTAAATCATATCTACTCACCAAAAGATACATAGCAAGTTGTTGTAAGTCCCATCCTTGCATATTCAAAGGTGGCTCGTTTACAGGTGGATTATGATTTATAGTTGTATCACCTTCTAATCCAGTTTTGGGCTTTTGTAACATTTTCACGTCATCTTTCACATTCTTTACGCTTCGTTGATAAGAAGAAATTACTCGACGTAAGCGTGTATTAAGATCAACTACAGATGGCCATGTCTTTTCATCGTCCAGTAGACCATCATTTCCCTCATGACTGCTGCTAGGTTCTGGTACAGGCGTGTCCGCCTTATTAGATATAGCAGGCGAATCAGTCGGCGTTTCACGACTAAATTTATCAGAATCTTTCAAATCTTTCAGTATTCCAAGCGATTCACTATCGTCCATGTCATTTTCCAGGCTAGTATCATCCCTACTGCTGCTGCTGAAATTTTAAGAATCATTAATTTGCAACAGACACGACCGTGTTTTTCATTTCTTACGTTCAATTCCATTTCCACTAAAAATAAAATTATCTAATATGTATGCACTCGTGAAAACAGATACATACTTAACTGATCATAAATACAACAGTTATTTCGAAAATACAGTCTACAGGTATACAATCTCAAAACTAAAAAGACTTCCACATTAACCACTTTAGAATGCTGTACATATTAAGAATTTACATTGTAAACGTAATTTTACAGATATGCGTACAGAATATAATTGATCGTTTAGAAGAAACTGTTTAAGGATCACTGCATATTATCTGGTGTATATATGCATAATCCTCCTTCACTGTAAATAAATTCTGGTAGGAAGTAATATTTTTAAACTAGGTGAAAATAAAAAGATAATTCCCTTCGCTGCTATGTTATACGAATGAAATGAAAAGGGAAAAGTTTATGCTAGTTCTACCATAGGCATGATCATAAGCGAATTAAAAATGCGTGTCAAGCAGTGTATGTTAGAATGACTTAGCAGTAGCAACACGAACACGGAAGAAAAACACATAACGTAAAGAGAATAATTACTCACTTGCTTTGTGTGGTCTTAGACTGGGAAGGGGGAGGACAGCTTGTAATGAAAGAGAGAGCGGGATCGATCCTCATCTGGTCGTAATTCTCGTAGCCATGTTTGTAGCAGCCAACTATTAGAGATTTATCTGCTTGCGAGTCCCACCATTTCACTGGCTGTTCCATCAACTGTGGAGGGTTTATCCGCAACGCACTGTAGGGCCGTTTCATTTACAATTTGCCAATTTATTTATGCCAATTAAAATATTAAAGTTATACAAATTTTGCATTCTACCGAATTTCAGTAACAGCGAACTTATATGATATTCGCTAAGTAGACATAAAAGAAAAGGCTCGCTTCATTAATAAAATTTAGATAATCGCAATCAACACTTATTACACTTTTTGTTTAAATTAACGGCAAATATGTATATAGACTTTAAAATTCCTGTTCCGTTTGCCCCTTTAATACAGTGCACTGCTTTCTAATGACATCTTACCAGATTATCGTTGACTTTGACCTTCTCTGACCATTTTATAGCCGTACAAAAGTGTTTACAGTAATTTGAAAAAAAACTGCGTGTATATTTGTGTACATGTTTATAGAACAGGATGGGAGGATCTTTATATTAGTAATGTAGGATCAGCGACTGAAAGTTGTTTACAGAGCTACGAAGTAAACATAGTTTTAGCTCTATGAGCATTCCTCATACAATTACAGCTCCCAGGATAAACAAATACATTGCACATGCAACTATGAAGCTCTGTATAAGCACATATGTAAGTGCACGATATTCCATGATAGTCAGTTGAGCAAAGAATAATGAAAGTTCGTAAATGAATGTATTGTAGATACGAAAACAAACACTAACCTGACATGAACACCATCAGAAATGTGTTGAACTAAATCTCCGATGATCTCGTGCTTAATATAGTAAAGCATTCGAACTCGTAGTAGAACCCTAGAATTAAAAAAACGATTGATTAGATTTCGTTTAAACAAAAAATTAGTAATATTACAAACATTTTAGTACAGGAATATTTCCATTGAAACGAGGAAAATATTATAACGTACTTATTTGCATGACGACTCAAATGTTTCCTGTAATTACTTTCTAGAAATATATCTCCATCATATTTTTCAGCGTTACTCCAGTGATTCGGATCACTCGGACCACCATTGACAACCGATCCTCGCGTTTCTCTACCTTCTCTGACTCGACCTTTCTTCTTCTGTCTACTGTTCCTTCCACCAGTGTTGATGCACACATTTTTAACTTTTTCTCCATTCTCGACAGGAGTAATGAGGTCCCAGATAAAGTTACGGATCTTCTCGTCGCCTCGATAATAACGAAGACAATAAAGTAAAATGACTCGTGCACAATCTTCGACATCAACCTCGCGCCATCCTCGACGAAATTGGCTGTGCTGCAGAATCTCTTCCCATCGACCCCAACCGTACGTAAGTAAACCTCGTTCGACCTTAAAACATTCGCTGCGCGCCCAACTGCCGTAGACCACTTCACCTTCACGTGGAACATATTCGTCGCAGAACTTCCGTGTCTTCTTACCAAATTTGTCTCTTCGTTTTTTACCTTTTAATAATGATAATGGAATAATTAGATTTTTATTTATATAGCGTATGCCATTATAAGTGTTCTTACGATAACGACAGGCCACAGTACAAAACTGACACGAGAAAAGTACGATTTGTAGAAGTAATGTTTACAATATCTTTTTATAGTAACACTTTTCTTTGCACGTATTATGTGTGAATACTAAGAATCATGAATATTATGCATGACAGAAAAAGGTAAATAAATGTTTTGCCATGCGTTACACAGTACAATTGAAGAAATACCATGTTATGTTAATAAAATTAATGTGTGTACGTGTATACAATAATACTCGTATTGTAATTATTAGCTTTATAGGCATGCATGCATTTGAGTGTATCTACGTGTATTTATAACAGGTTATTGCAATAATATTCCTGAAAGATGTAAATTCTTTTACAATGAAACACTTTAAATTTATGAAAATAACCAAAAGTAATGGAAGGATAAAACTCAATTTTATGTATTCACTTTTTTTTATATAAAACATATTGAATCATTTAACTACCAAAAATTTCTATAACTCTGAAATTTTGCATCATGCAAGAATATTTTTTGTAGCGGTGACTTGACAAGCATAATAGAAACATTTTTCAAACTGGAACATGAAATTTGAACATTTATGTTATGAAGATGTACAGAGTAACATGTATGTATGTACATACTAGTGTATATATGTATATGTGTATGTATGTATACATGATATAAATGGAACAGACTTTTGTCATAATGAAGTATTATCACATTGCAAATTTAGTTGTTACAATACTTAAATGAGTAATTACTTATACAAAAATTTTAGTATCTTCATAAAACGGAAATTCGATAGATTGTTAACCTTACTGCTAGCATGTAGTGAAAACAGACTAACTCTCATTGTAAATGTGAAAATATAGCAATACCTTCGTAATTATCGTAGATCATTTATCCACTCCGGGTACCACAGTCACGAAGTGATATTTCATGAAGTTATAATACTAAGAATGGTGTTGTGCTTTAACATGCACCAACAATGAACATACCTCTACCTGTTAACCCACTACTTGTTTCGTCATCGCTATTATCATCCGAACTGTCGAGATCCGACATGACAACTGATTCGTCATGACCATATCGCTTAATTTGTGTTCTTCGTCTTGGTTCTGATATTACTAATTCATCTTCTTCTTTCTTCTCTGTTGTATCAATTTCCGCTTTTTTCGCCCACTTTTTCCAAAAATCTGGATCATCGATATTAATATCAGATCTATTAGATGAACACGCGAAACTGGCCTTTGAAAATGTCGATCCTTTCTCTGCTTCTATAGTAATAATCTGTAACACATTTTTTACATTAATATCACAAGAAAAACATCACATTTTTAACGCATCTCTTTCGCGACCGATAAAATTATCTTTTTTAAAAAACGATCTTGAATTGTACATTATTACAGCAACAAAAATTTCATTAAACAAATTTGATTTATTTTATTAAACACAATGTGGTAGTTTCGCCCGCTAACTGTTGTAATTTGTATCAAGTTTTTCCCGACGAAGATGTATTAATAAAACAATAAACACAAATTCAATCTACTTACTTGTGTCCTACGTTCAAGTATTTGTTCTATATCTTCTTCGCAGAACTTATCTCCAGCATTGTCGTCATCCATAATAGCACCATAAGCACCTTTTTTTAATAGGTCCTCTATTTCCTTTTTCGTTAGCTGTTTGTTACTGGGATCTTTACCCCCTTGACTTGTATTCATTGATTGTAATATAGCTTTATCTAATCCAAGCTTCAATGATGCTTTGTCAAACATTTCTCTTTCGTAAGTATTACGGCAAAGCAACCGATACACTTTTACCATCTTTTGTTGACCAATTCGGTGACATCGGGCTTGAGCCTAAATAACCAATATTTAAATTAGACACAATGAAATCTGGACAAATGTTAAAACATCACCCAATGCAATACCTGTAAATCATTCTGTGGATTCCAATCGCTATCATATATAATAACTGTATCAGCAGCTGTAAGATTGATACCAAGACCACCAGCTTTGGTACAAAGAAGAAAAACAAATCTATCAGAATCAGGTTTGCTGTACCGATCAATTGCAGCTTGTCTCAAATTTCCTCGAATACGACCATCAATTCGTTCATACGGATACCTACACAAATTTTTTCAATAAAAATGTTCTCAATTTGTTAAGTAAAATAATAATATAAATATACAGAAAACGCGAATAGAAAAATACATTTCTCAGAAAACTAACATACTTTTTGTATAACAGATAATCTTCCAACAGATCTAAGCATTTCACCATCTGACTAAATATTAATACTCTGTGCCCGCTCGCTTTGAGTTTCGGCAGTAGTTTATCGATTAATACCATTTTTCCCGAACTGTTTACTAGCGCATGATAATAAGCCTCTGAATCCTCTTTTTCACCAGTCTTGTAATCCAATTGTATTTGATCTTCTGCACCATTAAGTAGGAATGGATGAATACAACATTTTCTTAGTTCCATCATTGTGTTCATGAGATTCGGAATGTTAGCTGATGTAGTTCCTTTTGCAAGGAAAGAAAAGTTTCGTTCTAGGATACCGCGATAATATTTCTTTTGTATATTTGTTAATTCCACCTAAATAGATCCAAAACAGTTATTATTTGTCGCGCACTATTGATGGAATTTCTATGTGTATGTATATATATATAAAAAATAGAGCATCAATTAATTTTTGCAATCACCTCAACAACTGTTTCTTCCTTTGGAGCTAACGATTTCTCCACATCTTCTTTAAGTCGACGTAACATCATTGGCTTCAAAAGAAGTTGTAATTTATGAACTTCACTTTCACTACTCAAATTCCCAAATTCTTTAAGGAATGCTTCACTACTAGAGAACTGAAGTGGTTCAAGGAAGTTCAATAATGAAAAAAGTTCGTTGACATTGTTTTGTAAAGGTGTGCCAGATAAAAGTACTCTATGTTCTAAATTCAATTGCCTAAGACCTTCGAGTAATTTACAATTTCTATTTTTTAGCCTATGAGCTTCGTCTATAACACAGAGCCTCCAGTTATATCCTTTCAATTCATTAAAATCCGTTATAATTATTTCAAACGTAGTTATCAGTACATTAAATTTAATTAAATCTTTAATCTGCTGCCCTTTCTCGTTTTTATAATAAACTTCATATTCCTGAAGCATAGTTCGACTTGCTGCACTATAAACAAAATAACATGTCTAATAGAAAGGACGCTATTCTAAAATACAAAAACCCATAATTTTTCAATCAACTTACGATCCATGATATACTACAACATTCATATCTGTCCAACTTTCGAATTCACGTTGCCAATTTGGAATGGTTGAAAGGGGCGCAATTATTAAAAATGGCCCACGAATTCCATATTTATAAACTGCGTCCACAAATGTTAAAGACTGAATAGTTTTTCCTAAGCCCATTTCATCCGCAAGAATGCAATTATGTCCATTGTACCATGAGAATAATAACCAATTAAGACCTTCCAATTGGTACGGTCGTAAACTGTTGCTACTTTTATAAATTGGCGATTCTTCTAACTTTACCCATGCTGATGCGGTGGGCTTCTTTTTCGGCTAAAAAAATACATTTTGTTAACACAGGACAAATGTTTAATTAAAAGAAATAATCAGTCTATCTGCTAATAGTATATTTCATACCTTCCACTGATCTTTCGGAGGAACTTTATTAAATTTTACAAATTGAGCTATCTTTTCTGGATCAACATCTTCTTCTAATTCCCAAGTAGAGTCTTCATACTGAAGAGATCGCCATTTAACCAAATAATGTTTTAATGTTTCTCCGGACGTTGGATCAGTATGTGTTGCTTCATCGAGTACTCTGTCTACTTCCACAAAATCTGGGTTAAACGGATCATCTTCAGTCTGAAAATTAACAGTCATGTTTTACTGCTTATATACATTTAGTGTCGACTTCTGATATTAAAACTACTATTTCTATGAATGAATTAAAAAATTTTAGACATTATGATAGACCAGTATTTACATTTTCAAAAATGTTAGTGTTTTGTTGTTGTCTCTGCTTAAATCTTTTCAGTTTAGCTTGAATTCGTTTGTCACCCTTGTATAATTCTTCTTCTGTTCTCCATTCACAATGCAAATATGAAAAGTTTCTATACTTAACGAAATACTCTTCAACTTCAACTATTTGTGGTTTTACTTCAGTCACAACTGTTTCTTGTTTAGGTTCAGTAACTTCGTCTTCCTCCTTGTTACTATCTTTTACTGCATTGTCAGTTTCATTACTTTTATTTTCTTCGGGTACTTCAGTATCATCCTTTTCTTCTTTGTTTTCTGCTTCTGATTCCTTTTCAGATGTTTCCTCCTTCACATCACTTTCTTCTTCCTTAGTCTTGATATCAGATGCTACATTTGAAGCATTTTCATCTTTTACAGTTACTGATTCTGTCTTTATTTCTGGCGCTGGTGGTTTTATTTCTCTTTTTCCCATGCGTGAACATAATATATGTTGTACAACCATAGAATCTTCATCTGTAGTGTTCTGCGGTGATATAAATATTATTTAAAATTGTATATTTCGAACTTAAATGTATCAAAAGAAGTATTATGATGCATATACATACTATATACACAAAGTTAGGTTTATTAGGCCCGATTTCTCCACCTTCATTTTCCTTTTTAACGGAAACAGGCTTTACTGTATTTGAGCCTTCTACTTTCTTAGAAATTTGAGCGTCTTGTAGAGGTACATCATCGTCCGAAAATCTGAGCATCACATCATCAACATATTTCTTACGATGTGTATTTCTCGCGGAACGTCTTTTATTGTCATCGCCAGCTTCTGGTGATGGTGGAGGCGTGGCTGCTAATTCTTCACCATCAGAATCGGGTGCGATTCGGCTTTTACGTTTTCTATATATTGCAATTAAGAATTAGAAATATATGTTATTTTTACATTTAGCATAAGTATGAAATCGGTAAATATATTTAAATAAATCTTACTTCGAACTTCTGGGAGATTTTCCCGCTGAGACTTTCCCAGTTGTAGATCTCTTCCTAGCAGCAGCTTTCTTTTTATTAGGTGTAGCAGTTTCTGTAGCAGGGGCAGCTTCAGAATTTTCTTCCTTCTTCTCATCTGTTGAGGTATCTTCCGATTCCCCTTTCTGTTTACCTTCATCTTTCGTTTCGATTACTAAAGGTTCGGTAGTCGAAGAATCTACTTGTTCCTGATCACCTTGAATGGACGGTTCGGACAGTTTTGTGTCTGCTTCTTTAACTGCACTTGAATCAGACACTGCAGTATCCTCAGTTTCTTGTATAACTTCATCATCGGCTGATTCAGATTGATTAACTTTTCTGTAGAAATATAACGTTTTTAGTAAAGCAATTATTTTACTGAAAAATGTTGACACATTAAAAAGCAATGTTCATGTATAATGTAACTTACTTTCTATTACGTTTAGTAGAATCCTTGTCTTTATTCCTCTTCCTTGGTGCTTTAGGAGATTTCGCTTCTTTCGGAGGTTTCGGCTCCTTTTTAACTTTCGGTTCTTTTGGCTCCTTTGGCTCCTTTGGCTCCTTTGGCTCCTTTGGTTTACGTGGTTTCCTAGGAGGTCGAGACTTTCTACCTTTGTTCCATTCCTCTTCCATATCACCCGAAGATGGTTTAATGTCTTCAGAATCTGCAGCACTGTCAACAATGTTGCTACTATCTCCAGGAGTGACTTGATTGTCTGATACTGGCTGCTCTGGCTGTTGTTGAGTAATTGGTGCAGGAGCAACAGCCTCTTTGTCAGCTTTCTTCCTACTCTTCTTAGTTCTAGGTGTACCTTTACCACGGCCACGACCAGTAGTACTTGAAACCTATTTATAAGAAAACATTTGGTACATCTTGCTTTATCTTCTAATTCATAAAATGGAAATGGAGAAAATTAAGAGCTTACCTGTGGACTATCAACAACAGCAGCTGTAAACATAGGAGTCTGTAGTATACATTGAGGTCCACCATTGCATTGGTCATTTGTTTCGTGTTGTTGCAGTGCCTGTAATTTTTCTTGCAAAGCAACAATCTTTTCTTGATTTTCAGTAGCTGGAGGCATACAGTATAATTCCTGTAATTGCTGTTGCAGTGCTGCTCTTTCTTGGTGATGCGTAACTGGAGTACAAGAAGCAGCAAACCCACCAGATGTAACTCCTGTTGAAGTGGGATTTTGTGGCATATTGTACATAGTAGATATAGTACTACCACTAACAACATCTCCAGCAGGAGGATACTGTTGACCAGAACCCACTATTATATCATTAGGATACATATTATTTTTTGGAATATTCGGATACTCTGTAAAACCTGGTTGCACTTGATGCGTAGATTGCGAATTTGGCACTGACACTGCAGTTTGATGAGGGGGTATTACAATACCACTTGTTTGATTAACCGAAGGTATTTGTTGACCATTTAAATGGGTGGGTGAAACTGTATTAGTTGGAGTTTGCAATTGGGAAGTCGGGTTTTGTATAGCCGGTTGTAATTGTGTTTGATGCGGAATTTGAGATGAAATTATTGGAGCACTTTGAGGTATTATACCAACTTGTGGTGTAATAAGAGGTTGAGACTGCTGAGTTGTCTGAACCTGTGTTACACACGGTGGTGTTGATTGAGGTTGCGATGGCTGCGCTAATTGTGGTTGAGAAATTTGTGGCTGTGACTGTTGCGTTTGATTTAATGTGGGTTGTTGAGGTTGAGCCATTGGAGGTTGCTGTTGAGGAGTAGTTATCTGCTGTATTTGTTGTTGACCGATTTGTGGTTGATTTATTTGTTGTTGCGGAGAAGATTGTTGACTCAATTGAGGTTGTTGCACTGGATTCAATTGTGGTTGTTGTGAAGTTTGGATTGGTTGTTGAGATTGTACCGGTGCTTGTTGAGTTGATACTACTTGAGGCTGATTTATATGTAATGGTTGTACTTGTTGTTGTGGACAAGTAATAGGCTGCTGCTGCTGCTGCTGCTGCTGATTATGCTGCTGTTGTTGTTGCGGCACTTGATTGTTAACTGCGGGTTGTTGAGAAAGTACAGGTGTAGTATTAGCTGGTGGATGATTTACTGAATTTATTTCTAAATGTTGATTATGCTGTTTTGTTTCACATGTATTTTGACTTTCAATAGTAGATACAGGATTAGGAATTTGACTTGACGTTGGTTGTTGAGATAATGTTGATACACTTGAACATTCAACATTTCCATTTGTACTAGATGCTGGTAAAGTCTGCACAGTTTCCAACTGAGAAATATTTCCAGAAGTAGGTTCTAAAGGTGAATTAGTCTGTGAATTATTTTGCATCAAAGTATCAGCTTGTTGATTTAATACATCTTGAGGTTGATCTTGAACATTTTGATGCAATGCTTCACTTTCTTGCTTAGGCGGTTCAATTGGGTTATGAATAGGATCTACAGGATCTCTTGTTGTAGTTTCTGCAACACTGTGAACAGTTTCTGTCCCAGTTACTGGAAAAATTGATGTGTTTTGTTCAGATACTGGAGGTTGAGCTTCTACTATATTCCTATCTTCATTTATACTTGGCCTTATTTGTGGTTGCTGTTGTTGCGGATGTGACCACTGAGCAGGCATTGGCATCCTAGGGCCTGTAATAGGTGGCATAGAATTTTGTGCGGTAGGTTGAGTTAAAACATTTGGGGTTTGCGACAATGTTGGACGCGTTTGAAATTGATTATACTCTGGATTTGAAACATTCGAGTTTGATACAGCAACACCTGGTATAACCATTTGTTCCAATGCTTGAAGAGTAGTCTGTTGTGACGATGGATTAATTTGTATTGAAGTTGGAGGACAAGGCGACACAGGCATTGCACCAGGCTGATTTGATTGTTGATGCGGAAGTTGAACATGAGGATGAGGAGACAATGTATTAGGTTTAGCTGGTGACATAATAGGTCTAGGAGACATTTGTTGTTGTACTGCCGGTGGTCTCGGTGACATTTGAGGCCTAGGAGACATTTGAGGTGATAATTGGGGAAAAGTTGCACGGTACTGAGGACTCGTAGCATGTTTAGCTGTACCAAATTGTGTTGTTGGCCCAGAATGTTGTGGTTGATTAAACATAGAAGTTGCATGGTGAGGATATTGAGGATCCAATTGTTGCTGTTGCTGTTGCTGTGGTTGTTGTTGTGTACTGGGATGCTGTGTATGCTGGGGGTACTGCTGTGGATGGGAAGGATGAGTTTGATGACTTGGATGAGTTGGATGATGATGTGGCATCCTTTGTGGAGGTTGTTGAGTTTGCTGCTGCTGCTGCTGCTGCTGTTGCTGCTGTTGTTGTTGTTGCTGTTGTTGTTGATGGATTGCAAAGCCTGGATATCCAGGAGACGTTTGATACATTGATACAGAATTTCCTTGTTGGTAATGCTGTTGTTGACCAACCATGTGTTGGTAAACACTTCCTGTTCCACCAGCTTGCATCGCTTGATGCGGTACACCCATACTTCCTATCAAACCTTGTTGATTACCAAAATGTTGTTGTTGCTGCTGTTGCTGTAATTTTTGATTCATAACTCCACTTTGGTCTTGTTGATGAGAATATTGCGGAGGCATATGTTGTCTATAAGCTCCAGGTTGTGGTGCCATCTGATTATAATGTCTTTGCATTTGCGGATAAGCACCTCCACTACCTGGCCAGCCTTGCATACTTGGATCTATAGACATATTTGCTCTAGTCATTGAATGCTGCTGCTCCATTGAATACATATTATCATTATAATTAGGATATTGTCCTCCACTCCCAGGATGAGGCCCTCTATGTTGGGGTGCCATATTTCGTGCCTGATTTTGAAATGCCCCTGGCACCATAGCACGCTGTGGCGCACCACTATCAAATGTTCCAAGATTTTGATTAAACATGTTGCGTTGTGATGTATTTTGCAATTGATTAGAAGTTCCAAATTCAGATCCGCCGAATGAAGTTAATTTTTGAAGCGGAGATTCTTGAGATATATAAGATTGACTAATGTAACTCCCTCCTCCATTAACACCAGAGTTTGAACCATCTCTAGATACTACCACAGAATTAGTCGTGCCTGCAGGGTCAAAATGGTCGTTCCCCCCGAGGTCAGGAAGAGCATCAAGCATCGAGCCACTAACATCTTCACCAAACAGATCGTACGAGTCCATGTCTACGCTGCAGGACTCTTCGCCTCTATTTCAGGCTTAAGAGGGTATCGTATAGTCTCTTTTATAGTCATTAACGTGCCCATTGTTGATCCACGTCTTTTTTGTCTGAAACAATGTATAAAACAATTCATACTACAATTGAAAAACATTTTATTCCGTTAAAACTTACTAATTACTAAGTTATTTTTATACTTATTACAATGATCAAATTCAATTACTTTAATACACTTTTCGATGACTGTGACAAATGCCAAGGGGGCAAAGCTATACGCTTATGATTAAATTTCACATAATCGCTATAACTTTTCCCTCTTGGACCATGTCTTCATTTGTAGTACCATTTTTAATCATACTAATTACACTCTTAAACGAAGTTCATAATACATGTTTTCCTATAAATGAAATTTATTAGCAGCTTCTTACTGTTTACACGCATACATGTTATAAACAATTAGTTAAGTACAAGAAACATTCAACATGCAAATTTATGAGAAATATTAATAAAATAACAAACATATGATTGAATATATATAACCACATTACTCCAAGGTATATCACTTTCATATTTTCGAGGAAATTTCAATTACAAACATTTAATTGTACACTATTATCGTTGTTAACGAATAAATATAAGTTTATAATGGTATTAAGCACTATAATAATACTAATGTACTGTAGTAATACATACAATGTCATTAAACTTACATTTACTCTTCAACCATGGTAATTGTATGTGATGTGTGGCGCGTGTGTGTGTGTACGCGCGTGCGCATGTGTGTATGTATGTAAAATTAATCTTTTTATTTTAGTGTAAAGAAGAAAAATTTCTATTGTTAATATTTATTATATTCAATTTATTGAAAATGTTAAGACTAATTGCGGATTAATTTGTTTGACTTTCTTCATAATTTTTTCTTTGAGGCATGCTTACAGCTTCACTTCATACTATTAGAAATTTCTATAATAATTTCCTGTATAATACAATTTTCAATGCAGTTAACATAACCTAATATTAAAGAAAAAAGAACACTTTGTAATGGAAGTTTAAAAATACCAATAAATTACACCTAATAAAACTGAAAATTTACATGTGCCATGTATGTATACACACACGCACGCACGCACGCACACCAACAAATCTAATATATTAAAATTTAACAAATTTAAAAAGTAGAGTACAAAAAACTCGTTGCACAGTCGCATAATCACGGGGAAAGTAAGACAATACAGAACAATCATTATATCGTAAATAATATTGTAACCTTGACAGAATTATAAGAAAACATTAACAATTCCCCATTAAAAAAATAATCTAAGAAGCACACATTAATATCGGTTTAAATCACGAAATATTTAAACAAGAGGGCTAAGCATGGTATCTTATACGTTCAAACGAAACTGCCGAAAATTCATAATTACTGACGAAGAAAAATTTCGAAATAAATAAGAACGTCCAAGAACAACAATACTTCGTAGGTACTGTACACCAGTAGCACGTTGTTAAAATTCGACAGAATCAACGTACACGGTAAAGATCAGACCAAA